CCGGAGTGCAGCTCCAGGCCCCTGGGTGCTGCTGTCATGCCCTCCAGCTCTCCCCAGCCTTGGCCTCGATGCAGTCATGCCTTGGTGTCACACATGAAATTGCACCATAGAAGTGAGAAGGATTGCAGCTAAAAAAGTGCTTGGACTAGAAAAAAGTCTGGCATTGCTGTTAGTAGCCACACACACACAAGTCTGGCAACCCAGGACGTGCAATACTTAGAGGAGCACAATTCTCTGCAAATTATTCACCCCTTTAGCCACTCCTCTTGCAAAAGGAGACTGGGAAAAGACAGAATAATAAAGACATAATCCACAGTAGGTTGCTCCTTTACTTCTTTCTGTCTGAAAGGACTGTGACAGGAGTATTGGGTCTAAGTAACTGCAGCCTTGTTCAATAACATAGCAGTTTTTTCCTGGAAATGCATTTTATACACCTCAGTTTCTAGTGACCCTCCTAGTCAGATGGAAATATAACATTCATGTTTAAAAGGTAGATAAAAGCTTTTGCTTTCCTGAAACATCCTTCTAATTACGAAAAAAATGGGTGACATTTTTCCTTGAAAGATGTTTTTATGCAGATATTTTGGTTTGAAAGAAAAATGTTCAAAAGCCTGATGAAAATTCAGATGCTAGTCATCTTCTAGTGTGAAGAATTCAAACAGGATTTCTAATCTGATGCTTCTAAAATGCAAATAATCTTACAGCCTGAAAACCCTCCCACAAACAAAACCCCTGCCCAAACCCTCCTTGCAAATAATTGTTTCCTCTTTGTTCATTTAAAAACTCAGTCCAGCCGCTTCTCACATGCAGCCATTAAACTCCTATTTAAATTTTTTGGGATAATCTGCTTCTGGCCTGGAGTGACAGAAACATGCTCCTCTGTCAACCCATTACTAACCTCAGTCTAAAACCTTTAGCCAAGCTCATTGGCACCAACAACTTGCAGGTGTGATGCTGCTGACCCTGGTGCTGCTGCTCCTGGGGTGAAGTCAGCCAGATCCTGGCATGGCTGTGCTGCTTTTCAGCTGTTCTTGTGGCATCCAGCCCACTGGCAAGGGCTTGTGCCAGCCTTAGCCACCGACCAGTGCCACAATGTGGGCGTGGATAACTCTGTCCCCATCGCTGCATCCAGGCAGCTGGGCCATGGGGCTGTTTGGGCACACAGGATTGCAGGATGCCTGGTACCCCAGCACAAACAGCAGCTTTGGGGTTACAAAAGCCTTTGCTCACCCTGCTGGGCTGCTTTCCTGCACTGTTACCTAGCTAGCTGCTACTGAGGGCAGCAGCTGGGAGGGCACTGGTCCCAGCTCTGCAGGTGGCAGCCACTGGAGCCAGGGCCACATCCCACTGGTGTGCCAAGGCCTGATGCCACCACAGGGCAACGTGGCAGGCTGGTATGTTACACTGCTTCCTTAGGAACCTGCCGGTGTGAAATACAGGAGTGTTTGCTACATTGATCCTTTGAAAGCAGTGGGAAGCTTTGAGATGTTATAGGTAGAAAACTAGGTACTATTGCTGTGTGTAAAGCTGGTTTTATAAAAGAGAAAGGGGTTATTGTAGCCTTGCAGTCCATGAAAAACCTGAGAAAGGCCATAAGGTCTTGACCACCATTTTGCATCCTGCAGCTGTTCAGACCCACCTCTTCAGAAACATAAAAACACACTAGTAAATGCTTCACTGTGTCCCTCCTCTAACAGCAAACAAGCTCTTTAACAACTAAATATCTTCTAAATATCTTCTGTATCTTCTAGCAAGATACAGAAAATTCATACGTAAGAGTGTTGTACTGGAAGATGCATAAGATGTATCTGTACGTTTTTTCCGACATTCAGTAAAACTGTTAAGAGCAGTCCAAGTGACCCAGACTTATCCATCTTGCATTGATGGACAATCAACCTAAGTACCCGAGTTTGTTTTCTTGTTTGTTTTCTGAAATGTTTTTATCCTGTGTTGTCAGTACTCGGAAATAACTTGCAAAATAGAGCTTGAGAATGTTAGATTGGTTTTTGATTGGTTCAGAAACATGATAATGGCCAGCTTGTCAGATAACTGATTTGCAATGAATAATTTAGTTTTAATCAGCTGAAGTTTTAATATATTATATCTTTCACTAATCAATCTCACTTAGCATATGGGGAATCAAGATAAATTCATCCTTTTGATTAGGAAATCAAAAGCCTTTATATGCATATTGGTTGATGGCAGGTCTCATAAAAGCACACCACCAAACTGCTGATGTTTCAGGAATTCTGTCTCATATAGTGCAATTCGTTGATTATGCAGGGTGTTTTTAATCAGGAGACGAAATTCTGCAGGGATGCCTGATGCCAGCACAGCAGCACCTCTGGCCACGCTCTGTGACTCCTTTGGACATCGGGGGTCACTGCCCTGTGCACCCAGGACGGGGTTTGGAGGCACAAGGCCAAGGTCACACAGCACCTCATGGCAGGCTCTCGTTTTTCAGGGCCCTTAAAGGGTTTGGTGCTTTTTCAAACAAGGAGATTTAAGATCTTCATGGGAACATGATCCACGTCTGGTAGGAGATGCAGAAGCAAAAACTTTTATAGTATGTTACTACTAGAAATACCAGCTTTTAGAGAAGCATCTTTCCCTTAACAGTGTGCTACTGTATCTTGTGTTTTCTGAGTAGCCAGACTAGAGAGGGTGGGGCAATTGTTAAACACACTAGCACAGGAAACAAATCACCCAGTTACATTAAAAATTAATTTAAACTGTTTAAAAAAAGAAATGAAACATTACATTTAAAAGTAACATTTAAAAAGTAAAAAAGTAAAACTCAAAACCTTTAGCTAAATGGAAAAAAGTGAGAGATTGTTTGTTGTGTTAGGTCCTCCCCTGAAGGAGTGTGTATTATTTAGGAATAGCTTCTTTGGGGCACGTTTTGCTTCCTGTAAGGGCTCGGCCTTTTTAATTTCCAGTTTACTTTGTAAGTGAACCAATTCTTCCTTGTAGTAATCCTTTAATAGATTGGAAAAAAAAAAAAAGGAAAAAGAAAAGGAAACATTTTGCAATTTTTGTCCAGCTGTGGATCATAGTTAGATACCCATAGTCTAAAGTGTATGATGATTTATCAAAAGTAATATTTATAATTATACTGATAGTGGCTGCAGTGTACTGAAAATGCTGTCCTGGGTTTTCATTGCTTGAGAACCTGAGCAGTTGCTCATCCTTATCAAAAAGAAAAAAATAAAGAAAAAAAATGGAAGAAGAGTAAAAAGGACTACAGATGTCAAACTCCAGAGTAACAGCTGAGCAGTCTCCATGATAATTTTCCCTCATGGTGATGACATCTCTTGCTTCCACCGTCCCAAGGAATCAGCAGTGAGATGAGGTCACTGTCAGCTTGCATGGAAGACCTAAATTGCTGGAGCAGAGGTGCTGTGAGCAGCAGTGCAGGTGACTCATTACGTGACACATTTCCTTCTGAGTCACTGCAGAATCAATGCCCTGTCAGGATGCTGAGAGCACCAACAGGGGCTGTCTCGTCTCCTGCAACCAACAAAAAGTCTCTTGTTGACAGTGAGGTTCTTCAGCACTCACTGGCTGACCAAGAGAGAAAACAGAGGGGAATTGCAAAATTTCTCTCTGACAGGAGCACCCCTCTCAGAACAGAGTGTCTTTGTTCTCTGCACTCTGCTTTGGTCCCTGGGGGTCTCTGGTGCTGGCAGCCCACAGCAGGCTCTTGTAGTCAACGCCCATTGTGCAATAACCTGGGGATATGCAGTAGGCACCTTCCACCAGGATGAAATCCTGGCATCTGCTGAGTATTGCTCTGAGTTTTTTCAGTATTGAAGCTCTGACATTTAGTTATATTATGTCATAGATATATTATACCTAAATATATCTGTGAAATATTTAATAATGGCAAGGGCAGTGCAATTCACTGGTATGAACAAAAGAGGGCTGTAACTCAGACCTCTGTACACAAGAAGAATCCTCCCAGGTCTAAAAAATTAAAATTCCACAGTACATTTCTTTGATGATATAAACACTGAAATGGATATTTACTGGTAGCCAACCAAAAATACTCAATGATGCATAAAAATATATATTTAAATTAATATTTAAAGAAAATTTTGTCAGGCAACAAAAAAAATCAGTGTTTTAGTAAATACCTATCACAGTAGTGTTTTAAGCATGATGCTCCAAAATCTGGTACAAGGAAATGCTTGCAGAAAGAGGTGATATTTTTGTTAAATATCTGCAAAAACTAGGATGAACTTTTAAGCACACAGTATCTCCATCAGCTCTGGCAAAAAGGGGTCAAAAACCCCAGGCTAGAAATCTGGTTTTTTATATAAAATATTGTTAGAGTGAGATAAGAGCTGTTTGTCTGACAGTATGTTCATTTAATTCAGCTAATTTGATAAATGTGTTATGCCTATCTACACACTTCATAGTAAGAAGTGAAATGGAAGCCATTGCACATCTCATTGTTTACTTTATTTTAAGGGCAATAAAATAACATTACATGGCTTACACTGATAAACTTGCCTTTCTTGACATTCTTTAACTATGTTATGATGTCTTCATGATAAAATTCACTGTACTATATTTAAAATGAAAGTAAACACAAGCATCCTGTCTGCAGAATTAAGCAGGAATTTGATGCTGCTTAGACAATGCTTTGTTTTGTAGGTGGATAGGTGACAATAAGAACATGAACTGTGAGCTCTGTGCTTTAAACTTAAGTCTTAAATAGTGAGAATTATTAGAAGTACATCAGGTAATGCAGTTTCCTTATGTGAAAGATGTTTAAAGGTGTATTACTTCACATTGCTATGTGTCTGAACTCAGCAGATTAGGGCCCATGAAAAATCTCAGAAAAAGCAGTTAGTTCCAGCTATTCAATGGAGATATTCTGGTACAGTCAGTGAGCTAGTAATCAATATTAAAAAAAAAAAATACATGATGAGATCTTATTTAAGACTTTTATTTCATCTCTTATTTTGTTTAAATTGAAACACTCCTGAAAAATATTTATATTTTTATGACAGAATACAGTTCAGCCAAAATGCTTTTGAACAGCTTTCACAGGCTATGCAAAAAAAAAAAAAAAAAAAAAAAAAAAAAATTGCAGAAATCAGCAATTTCAGCATGAGGAACAGCTTGCCTTTTTATTCAAGAAACACAGATAAGCTGCACACAATATAACCTGAAACTGTGACATAATTCCCTGTTGTATTACCTTTGAAGTATTCAGTAAATTATTATCTCTTTTTTTTCAGTAAGATGAAAGTAAAAATTTTTCCAAAATGGGAAATCCCCTATAGGTGGCAATTTGGACTTCATTCACTCCTTAAGTAATTGCTTTCAACTTCTGAGGACTCCGTTCCAGTAACAATCAGTGCCCTGCACTTGCAGAAGGACTCGCTGATGCTGACACGCATCACGGAGTAAAAAGCTGATGTGTCAGAGGCACAGAAGGTTCTGCAGATGCCATTTATCCCCGGTGGCGGTCAGGGAGGTGCAGAGCGCGGTGAATCTCACGGAGGAGCGCGGCAGCGATGGCTGCGCTGCAGAGCGCGGCAATCCCGCGGGTTTGGATGCCCGCAGTGTCCGAGCCCTCTAGCGGCCCTCTCGGTGTCGCGCTGGCCGCCAGCGATGCCGTCCGAGCGCTCAGACGGCTTCTCGCAGCGAGCTGGGCTGCTGTCTGTGTCCTCCTTGTGTGTGACACGGCACCTGGTGCTGGTGCTGCTTCCCTGGGCATCCCTCCCGGCAGCTGGCAGGGCGCACAGCCCGATGCTGTGTGCTCATCACAGCTGTCCTGTCCTCCGCGGGTTCCCGGTCTGGCAGCAGCTAAGGGCACGTTCTTCCTCAAATTATGGCGGGCACCCGTGCTGAGCAGGCATCCCGGTGGCCTCGCTGCCTCCTTTCACGCTGCTTTCCCTCCAGGAGGAAGGTGGGAGGGACACGCTTTGGTGATAGCAGGAGATGAGGCTGGAGGTACAAGGGAAAACCAGGGTGGCTTTTGGGCTTTCCAGCTTGGTTCTAAGTTTGAACCAGCATGACTACGGCTTCTACCTGCTGAATCATGTCAACTGCCTCAAAACTACTCATTTGTCTGTCCTTAATCATTTCTGGCCAAATGATTAGCTCTTTTTCCTGTTCCTTGGGCATCCTGAAACTAGAAACTGCCTGAATACTTTTCCCCATGTGTGTAAAACAATTTCTGAGACTCCCTACCCAATTTTTTATAAATAATCCTGGTCCCCTGTGACTACCTCATTATAATGGGATGTATTAGTGAGATAATTTCAGGCATGCTGCCAGCACTTTGCATCCCATCACATGGATCACTTACAGTGCCTCCTCATGGAAGTTACTACAAAATAAATCTTCGTTCTGCTAATGCCGTGAGAGCACATGTTAAAGCATGGGAATGACAAATACACACGCCTCATCATGCATCACTTGATAAAATGGCTAAATTTGGCTGTCCCTGGCCCAACAGATAGACAGGGACAATCTATTGTCCCTGGCACAATAGATAGGCACAACAGAGCTTGGTGGCAACACCTTGGTGATATCACAGAAAACCTTTAATGAGCCCACGTTCAGAGCATCAGTGAAGGTTCAACAAAGACGGAGCAGAGTTTAAAAATTTGAAAATGGAAAATGTCATCTGTCATGTCAGATTTAAGGGTCTAATTGCCAAGTGAGAACATGGAGCATGGCTGACTGAGTATGACATCCTGGGAGGACACCAGAGGATATTCATGGACACTGCCTTCCCTGCCTGCTGCTGCCTGACCACACTAGGTCCAGGTGCTTGTGCTGAGCATACTGTGCTGAGTCCTGGGACAAAATATCCATCCACCTCTGGCCCAGAATACTCTCCCTGGTCCTCAAAGAGAAAAAAAACATCCACAGTTAATCACTTGCATGGCGCAGGCCAAGTCAAGCTGTGCATTGCCTCTGCAGCTCTGCACACTAAACAGAGAAGTTTTTTTCCCATTAAGGTTTGTAAAAGCAAATGCTTCAAGCACTTCATGCTGATACACTTAGCATTTCCAGCAAATATATATAACTAAGCTTTTTGCCTTCCCACTACTTTCACTTTATTCTGTCTTTTTCTATCTTTATAAAGCAGAATTTGAAAGAAAATAGAGGGGTATTTTTCCCCTCCTCTCCAACTTAAGTCCTATTTTTTCCTAGTAAAAATTTTTGCAATCAATATTTAACCAACCGCTAAATGTTTCTGAAGTTCTCCATGAAAAGAGTAGCAATTCTGCTATTGTAATGTAGTTCAGATAAAGTAGTTCATCCCACAAACAAAACAAAATAGTCAGCAATGTTTATGCATTGTAACAGATATGACATGGTAATGTATTTTCCTGAAAATCTGAAAGACCTTTAAAATACAGGATAACATTTTTCAGCTGTGTTGTTGTTAGTATTTTGTAAACTGTAGAAAATTACTTGACTAAGGCACATAAAACTCAAGCTTCCAGAGTATCAATCAAGGGATTTTATTTGACCATGTCTTCCTTAGCTTCAAAATTATTTTCTCCTTCAGTGGACTTTGTGGAAGCAAGAGCTTTATGGTGCAAATCTGTATCTGTATTTGAATTTCACACTAAACACTGCAATTATATACAGTAAAATTAATATTCATAATCTGGTCTCTCCATGGTGAACATGCTCATCTTAAAGTAAACTTTACTATGAGTGACCTGATAAAATTTGTGTACAGGAGTATAGGCTTTCTAGAATGTCTGGAGTAGTGTGTGATTGAGTGCAGCTGATGGGATTGTATCAAAACCAATAAAAGCCTAGGAAATTTTCTGCTGGATTTCATAGTAGAAAATAGCAATGGAACAGTGCTCCAAGTTCAGATTAATGGGGAGACTAAAAGTGTGGGATCCAACCAAATAACCTTTGCAGTTTTAAAGACAGAAGTGACTCATAGATTTTGTCTTCTGAAACCTGGCCAGTCAATCAGTTTTTATTATAATTACTTTGACCTGGTGAATGCATTATACAGGGAATTACTTGTCAACATTTCATACTCTGTAGATTATTTTCGTTAAAAACCACAGATTTTATCTAGTTCATAAGGACTGACAAAAATAATTTTTAAAGTTTTTAAATATATAATTAGTATTGCTTTTGGCAAAAGACTCTGTAGATGCAGCGCTGTGTCCTCTATTACCTTATATGTAACTGGTTTTTCAAAAGAAATCTGATTTAATAAACTCTAGGCAGAAACAGCAGCAAACAACCCTCATAAAATATAAAGAAATAATTTTCCCTCTAAATTATACATTCAAATCACACCACAGTACATAGTGGTCTTGCATGTTTAATGAAAATAAAAATTTCAACAAGTTCCAGATACCACTGGTGAATAAAATACAAGTATTTTCACATATTAATCTAGCTGGATTCATGAAAGCCATGAGTTACATGTACAGAGCACCTGCAGGTACACTGTTGTTGAATTCCAGGTGATTACAGCACTGACAGGTCTTCCAGCCCCTCACATCCAATGCCCAGCATGTTATACTGGAGATGCCCCTTTGAATAGGGATACACCAGCTTAAGTGGTCTGACAGAGGCCCAACATTACCAAAATGGCTTTGAGGAATTTCTGGGGAATAACCCAAAGTGACTTCTGAGGAATAACCAGGCCAGCCAGAGCAGGAACAAACATTCCTTAGCTATCTCCTTAGAGGAGAGCCAGAAGGTGAACCACCTCAGGGGTGTATATAGCTGTGGTGGACCCTCTTGCCCCCCTCCTGGCAAGTCTGGCTGCTTGATTCCCTCTCTGAAATGCCTGTCCACCAACACACACAGCCCAGGGAATAAGCAGGAATAGAGACCTCCATGTACTTGCAGTGCCACGACCTCACTGCAGTTACAGGGACATGGTAGCACAGCTCCCAGCATGGGAGTGCTGTCATGGATGGCTACAGAATTTGTGGGTGAGACAGGACAGCAAGACAGAATGGTGGAGCTATTCCTTATGTGGAGAGCAATTGGAATGTGTGTAGCACTGCCTAGGTGTGGATGAAGAATGAGTCAAGAGCTTATGGGTAAGAATTGAGGGGCAGGGTAACAGGGGTGACACTGCTGTGGGTGTTAGCTGCAGGTCACCCAGTCATGAGAGGAAATTGGTGAGACATTGAGTTTGCCAAGTGAATCACAGTGTTTGCCTGTGTGTGACAAAGACTGATCAGTGAGGTACCCATGTCACCATGGCTCATTTTGTCATGGAAGGGATTCTCTCCAGATATCATTAAACTCTAGAATGCCTCAGTGTTCTGTTAAGGTCATTTTGTGCCCTGTGACCCTCCTGATCCTAACTCCACAAAGTTAAAAGCCTGACACCTCCAAATGTGAGCTTTGCCATCTTCTGTTAAGGTTCACAGGAATGGCAGGACAGAGCAGATGCTGTGGAGAGGCTAACCTGCATCAGCAAGCAATGGGGTGTTTGTTTAATCCACATTGCTTTTTTTCTTCTACAGTAATGTAAAATCTCATGTTTTGCTCTCTTATTAGTATATTTGTCTAATCCTTCATGGCTACAATCTGAAATGGATTATAAAGAAGTGGTGGTGGTAACAAAATGCTTATTTTGCAATGATGAAGTAATTTATCCTTCCATGGATGGAGCTATATTGTTTTCTACTAATCCTTTTTAGCTCCAATACCTTCTCAGTAGTTGGATGTTTCATTGATTTAGCCTTGAACTCTCACAGAAATGGCAAAAAGAAAAACAAAAGTAACCCCCAGCTTCCTAGAGGTCTCCCACAAATTGTCTTTTCAAGATTATTGCATTAGCACAGCAGATTAGCTTGATAGATTGAATATAATGCGCTCTCATTTTAGCTAATGCTGCTTCACCAAAGGGACTAACAAACTTAATTCTATGCAGGCCAGGATTACCGGGCAGAGTCACTGAGTACTTTTGTATGCTTACAGATAGGATGAAACAGATTGACTTTCTTCCTTGCTCTCCTTGCATTACTTTGTCAGGAATTACTTCTCACAGGGCTTACATCTACGGTCTTCGCTGTTGGCTTGAGGCTGTGGTGAGGTCTCACCCCTGGAGGGGTTTGCCAGCCAGGTCCAGTAGCTGAAGGCTCACCAAAACAAGCAAACAAACACGTTCTAGCTACATCTCCAGCCAGCCCCTTGCTGCCAGCACCAGCACAGGGTGCAGTGGGCACTGGCAGGACACAGGGCCAAGAAGAGAAACACTTCTCCAGGACCTTGCCCACACACTGGGGCCCTTGCCCTCCTCACTGTGGGCCCATTGCGTGCCTTCTGAGCTCCCAATGGGTATTTGCAGCTTGCACCTGCTTTGCTGAAGGACAGAAACCCCCTTGGGGCCAGGGCCAGGCCATCTCTGGGTGTGTCCTGTGTCTGTCACACCCTCTGGTCAGTGAGCAGGCCCCAGTGCAGACATCCTGCAGCTGCTCTGGCAGGTATTGCCCTGCATGGGTACCCTCACCTTTACAGTGCAGGAGACAGTCACAGCTTAGCAGGCAAACACTGAGGCTGTGACAAGATGCAAGAGCCAAATCCATCTGGGAAACCATAAATAACAAGGCAGTCACAGCATGAGTCGCAGGGCTGTAGTTTACCCAACCTGTAGCAAAGCAGAAACCAGTATGTGAGTAACCTTCCTTTAAAAGACAAACAGACTCCAGACCTTCTCATCACCTTAATTATATGGTGGCTACCAACAGTGAAAACAAACAGCTCTTTTTTAAAGTGTGTGTTTGGTTTTTGTTTGGGATTTTATGTGTGTGTGTGTGTGTGCTCATCATTACTATGACCATGCTGTGGAGCCTCATGCATTTCAAAGGCCTTCTCTGCTAATGGAGACTGCAGTGGCCATAGCAAGGCTTCTTTGAAAAAGAAATTCTAGCAGTGAAAAACTTCTGTAACTTGCTGCTGGCTTCAAACAATCTCCACAGTGTTAAAATGCAAGAGAGGACATGAAAGAGGAAATTCAGGCCACAAGAAGAGACTAATGGGAGATCAAATTGCATATCCTAAGAAAGTCCTTTATGTGAGCTGAGGATAAGTGACAAAAGGAGTTTCATTCTCAGGGAGTTTAAATTATTAATATCCTTGTAAAGAGGTCACTGTAAGGTCTTTTCTACTCTCAGAAATAGTAAAAAACATGTCAAATGCAAGAAAGTACTGGAGAGAAAAATAATGATTGCAATCTAAGTGGGGTGGCACAGCAATCTCTCTGGGAAGGAAGAAAATTCTTCATTAAGAGTTAAGTCTTACAACACCTAAACATTTTTCTCTGGTACTTTTGTCCATGGACTTTAACTTGCTTTATCAAAGGTTTTTTCCTTGGTTCCCCTATTTTACCAAGGAGGGATCTTAAATAAATTGAACAGCTGAAAAGATTTTGAGCAGGTGATCATAGTTTCCTTTACCCACATCTCTGCAGCATGACTCTTAAAAATTGTGGAGGATCACAGACCTCATCTGATTAATTTGTTTTGGAAGAGCATGAGCAGTAACTGGTGTAACCAAAATCACTCCAAGTAACAGTAGAAGAGCCTTAAATAATAAGCATAAGTCACAGTTCAGCTTGGCAGCTCACCCCAGGGAATATGTGCTAGGCATTAGGTCTAATTGAGCCATTTCAGGCGGGGGAGAAAAACCAAACCAACAAAAAACCCCTAACACATGCAATGGCAAAACTAAGAATCTAAGTGAATGTTGAAATCTGACTCTGTCTATCTGAAAATAGTCTGTCCCACCACACTAATGCTGCTTTGTATAACTGACAGCAGGAACATCGAGCAGATTTAAAGTGTGACTGTTTCTGAGACTATTCAGTGTTCCTATATTTTGGCTGCTCTCCCTTTCTGAGCTGCCTGATCTTTGGGATGGGCAACCTTTGCAAGCAAATCTCATGCTGGACTGTGCAATAAGGGTGCTGGTCAGGCTCCTGGGGCCAGATCAAAACCACACTGAGCAACAGTATGTATCCTCCATTACACACTCATTATTCAACTTTGCTCAAAAATAGTAGTGATTAGACTTTGCATCAACAGCATTTATGTTTGATCATGCATTGTCTCTCTTTGCTACTTTTAGCTTCTATCAGGTCAGGTAATGCTTGTGTTCCCACAGCCAGGCTGGAAACATTAACTTTCTGTCATGTGCATGGGTTAACTTAGCTCCAGCCTGCAGACGTGCCTGGGCAAGACTGAAGCTGTGCTTCTCCAGGCTCCAGCATTAATTCAGTATTAATGAGTAAAGGATGCCAGGATCCCTGACTTCTGCAGGCCAGCCTAAGAACTAAGCACAGGGGAAAGAGTTGTGTTCAACCCTGAGAGTTTGTCTCTACAAGCAGTTTGATCAACACATACACTTTTCCAAATGACATTTTGTTCTCATGGCCAGTTTGAGGCGCTGACAGCCAGCTTTGCCCATCAATACACCCTGTGTGAGGAGTGCAAGGGTGCTGCCCTGGCAGCCTGCCCAAAGCCCGATGTGCTGCCATTTGCCTCGAGGAGGAGGTGTGGAAGTTTCCACGCACTTCATGGTGAGCCTGCAGTAGAGACATGGTGGCACAAGGACTGGGAGACCTGCCAGGGAGCAGGGTGGATGCAGGCAGTGGTAGGAAGCTGGGTGCAGGGGGTGCAAGGGCGAAGTCAGGGAGCAGAGCTACAGGAACAGCTGGAGGCTAAAGAGAGATATGTTTTCCAGCATCTTGTTGCAAACTTTAAAATGGATAAGGCAAAGCCTATCCTAGACTAGCCCAGGCAATGTACAGATCACACATGTCCAACAGCTTCTTTACACCTACTTCTTTGCATCATTGTCATAAGCCAAAAAAAATATAAGCTTTGCATTTCTGAGTTTTAATCTCTGACATGCTCTATGTTGATTTTTCCTATTGTAAGAAACTACCTCATCTCCTGTGAGTTTGTCTTCACAAATCTCCCTTTTAAAAAGGAGAGAAAGTTCGCATACAGAATTATTTTTCAAGTTTATATATAGAGGTTTATTATTATAATTGAAACTATCCTGGCACCATTAATAAATACAATAGTTTCTATGTTGTGACGCCTGTACACCAATTTATCTTCTTGGAATGCTGTGTTGTTGCAGGGAGTTCCCAGGATCAAAGTCCAGCCTGCACAAAGACATTATCTGATCGCCTTCACGCTAGTGCCTGAAATAGAAATTTAATGCTACAGGAAAAGAATGCAGCAGTTCCTGCTGTAAAACTTTTCATAACACTGGCCAACATATATGGCATTTTAAGTGCTGGTTAACGTGCCATGTACACTAGTTGATTCCAGCTGTTGCAAGTAACCTGATACGTCATGGTGAGGAGCTGCTCCAAGAAAAATGCAGATGTTGCCAGATGCTGGAAGTCCATATTAGGAGAAGTACTGCCCTGTCCTTCTGCATCAGCTGTGTGCATGCATCTTCCTTCTAGGACAATCTTTTGCTTGCTTATCCATTTATGAGTCAGTCCATTGTGAGTTCTGATTCATTTGTCCAGGAGAATGCTGTGGTCTCTCAAGTTTGGTAAAGGAAGTGAGCCTTACTTTTATGTATTCTGAAGGTGAAGATGTTACATTTTTTAGGATCTATAAATGTAGCTCATATTGACAGCAATCAATACATTTCCATATAGCAGACTGTTCCATTAAAAAGCATGAAAATGTGTGTATGCATGCCAGCAAAAATATAGATGGTTTTGGGGTTTTTTTGTAAATGTAACAGATCCACATATACCATTAATATGGTCAGAAGGAAAGAAAATACCTTTGGTTAAAAGAAAAAAACATGAGAGTGGTCCAGGTGTAAATTGGTATTTTAACAAGGCAATTTCTATTTCCTTCTGCCATCTCCAGTATCCTAATTTTTTTTATTCTTGTCATTCTCTAGTAACAGTAGATACACATGGCAGTATTTGCAATGTAGCTGGATAGACAAGTACCATGGAAAGAACAAATATTAGCTTTTCATCTGCACATATGTTTCCTCCAACTTTTAAACCATTTTCCCAACACTTTGTTTTTTCTACCTGCTTGTAAAACACCTTTGAAATTATTTGAGATAGGGATATATAACAACAAAAATACAAAGTTAAAAACAAAGATAAAGATTCTTCTCACATGTTACTCAATGCTGTTAGGAGACTTCTTGAAAATAAGAAATATTTCGTGAATGTATTTTCTGTATACCCACAGAAACTGACTTCTTCTTTTTCATGTAACTTTGAAAATCAAATAGTGGCTTTTTAAATTTAGCTTAGAGTAAACTCTGCTTTTCTTGTTTGAATTTACCAAGAGGTTTTGGGATACATGTTTTATAGATGCTATTTTCACTGATTTTCATATTTGGAGATTTTTGCATGTATTTCTTTTGTGAGGAGAAGAGGGAGCTGACCTCTGCAAATGACACTGTATTTTTTTTTCATTTCACCTATGCTTTAAGTGAGAGAAATACTGCATTCAATACTCAGAAACTTTTGAGGGCTTTGCAATGAATCACTGCAAGTTAGGAAATTCTTAACAGAGGCTCAGCCATAGGAGCCAACTTCACTGAAAACCTGAGAGTAATTTATTTAGAGATTTTAGGCTATTGTAGTTCTGTTCACTCCTGGCTACCAAACATAGCATCCCCCAGAGATGAAATGTAGAAAAGACACTTGGAAAATGGTAACTGGAAGTTCCTGCTGGCAACTTCAGTCTGACTCTTCACCACAGAACACACAAACCTCGTGATGGATTAATTGACATCCTATCAGTCACAAGAGAGGACAAGAAGCAGAGAGCACCACAGTGCTACATCCATGCAGTGTCTAAGTCCTGTTTGCCAATCAGTTAAAGACTAATATTTTTGCCTGCAATATCATCCTTTATGTAGTGCTTGACTTTGATGGAAGACTTCAACACTAGCTGAGTTTATTGATTTTCCTGTCCATCAGACTTAAGTCTAAAATGTTACTTTTAGATGCAGTATTAAGTGACCTTTGGTGTGGTGTGGCCTTGAAGGACCACACTCAAGTTTTCTGCATTAAGATCTAGTTCCTGACATTGTTTTCTGAGATAAAATACTTCCCATTCTCCCCAAGTGAGATTAAGACTCCACAAATTATTTTAATTTGTAATTTAAATTCATAAGAAGTAAGTAAAAAGAAGAAAGATGTATCTGTATACACTACCAGTGTGGAGAGTAATATGAGAAAAAATAAATGCTAACTTTCATAATTGGGGGGTTTTTTTCCTCAAGAAAGAGACTGGTTTTTTGACAATTCTGTAAACTAATTTGTTGATTATCTGCATATTCTTCAGTGAACAGTTCAAAATATTAAGGATCTCTTAGTTCAGTGGCTCAGATTCTTCTCACCCATTTCAGTGTCTGGGCATGTTCAATCATCAGTAAGGGACATAGGCATCTTCCTGTTGGCTTATTAGTCCACTGAAAATTTCTGCACCAGCTGTTAAGGAAATCAAGGTGAATACATGCTTCACTTCAGCAGATGTCTCATTGCAACAAGATGCAGTTTGCACCAGTGAGCCTGCACTCATACGCATGAGAGCAGGGCTTGGCTCTGCATGGGTATGGTATCAAACCATGAGAAAGGCACCCAAA